TAATACAAGTGCTTTTATTGAGAAGCATTGTAAGATAGCCAGTAACTCTCAAGGGTCTAGTTTCTGAGCGTGACAGGATTTTGCATAAAGAAGGGATATATTATGAAGTTAATAAACTCAACAACCCCATTTGGCAACCTGAAAAATAGAGCTTTCCAGCACAGAATGAAATGTACAAGGGACAAGACTGTTGCATCATAACTAAATGCAATGTGATGGGAGTGCTAAGTTATGGATATATGCCAAGGGACAATGACTCTAAGGACCACTCAGCAGTAAACAACTTAGCACATATTTGGTACCCATCTGTAAGAAGAGAAGAAGAGTGCAGTTACACAACGAGAGTGCTGTGAGCGGCCAGCTTCTCCTCCCACACCACTCAGTCTCCTCCCACACTATCACAGTCCGGCAGAGCGGTGTGGGGGCGGAGACAGCGCTGTCACAGGAGGCTGGGCTTTCCTCCCTAAGGCCAAATATATTTCCACTCTTCAATTGTACACATTTGGTAATCCCACTGAAACCTGTTACCAGCTGACAAAGAGAACCCAGGCTGATTACAACACATTGCACCGTTTCCATTTTGTCTTTGTTATTAGAAGATTATTGAAATGTCACGTGACTTTTAAGTAGGTTCTATGGGAACAGCGTGGTGTGATGCGGTTCTACCAGATTGCACTGCACTGGTGTGACCTGAGCCCAACTGAGACCTGGCAAAATAGCTGGTCTTGCATTTCGGCGGCACTGGAAAAAACAGCTAGTGTAGCCCTAACGTATTGGGTGTGAATGGGCCCTTAGAGTTGCCCTGTTGTTGTAAAGTATTTGCATTGCTGAGAATTTCCTTTCAATGTGAACAAGTCTAGAAATTCTTATTTGACCCATTAGAATAAGAGTCAGAATAGAAATATGAAAGCTGCCATTACAGAGTCAATGAACCAGAAAAAAAGCAGACTTGTTTAAAAGAGAACTATGGGGTAAACTTTTTATCCCAAAGTTCTCTTTAGGGTCATGGGAAGACATATACTAACATCCTGTGACCCAAAGCTCAGTATAGAGCGGGCTATAGCTCATTTCATTTACTAATTTATATTGAAGTTATATTCCATCACAGAAGTGAGCTTTCAGGATCTGTCAGGAGCCCGAAAAGGAATGTCACCACAAGGGGAGGGTAAGGGATCGGTGGTCTGGGGCATATCGGCAGCGCTGGAATAGTGGTCCCCAGCACCCAGAAACAGCACACACAAAAAAACCTTGCAGGATGGGTTAGATATGTTGCCTGAAAGAAAGCTTTAAGAACATATACAGTATAAGGCGATGGTTCTAACACATTTGTATAATTTTAAAACAACATGGTAGACGCTGAAATTTAAAGTGACATTAAATTCACAACCCCCCATGCTGCTTTAAGGACTTACTTTAAATGATGCCTCTTGATCTGATCTTCATCTTCTTTCCAGTAGTTTTCAGGAGTCCCTCCAGCGCTGGTGATGGTCTCTGATCCAGCACAAACTGCTGTGTCTTCTGTGTCCCACGGTGTCTGTCTGACATGCACGCTCACAGCTTGTTTGCATTGACTTACACTGTGTCTCTTCTCCCCGTCGAAGATCTCTACTGTGCATGCGCCCGCCCCACGATCCTTCACAGCTGCGCGAGAATCTAAAGATCTTCAGCAGCGAGCGACAGAGACAGACGTAAGTAATTACCAATTTGGAACCGTTTTTATTTTTATTTTTTTGCATACATCTACTGCTTGCTAGCAGAAGATATATGCAACAAAAAAAAAACAGAAACCAAAAGGTTTAATTCTACTTTAACTTAATTTAAAAAGCCAATACCAGTAAAATGAAGCTTTTCTTTTATGATCATTAAGATTCAGGTAATATGAATCTGTGAAGTCATAAAGCTGAACAAAAACCTTTTTATTTATAGCATATTACACTGTCATGTCTTAGTAGGTATGAAAATAACAAGGTCACTGAACAACTGGAACCATGCAGTACCTGCTCCTACATTAACAGAACTGCCTACCTCCGGATCTGCAGCAACTGTCAAGTCAGTAAGAGCTTCTGCCATTGCATAATGACCTGTCTGCCCCCTTCTGGCCAAAAGAAAGCAGGTAAACGTTTTCCAGGTGATCAATGGTTACATTTTCATTTTTCTTTTTATGATTTTGTACCACTTAAGAGTTTCACATTTCTAAATGAACTTCTATTTTAAATCACCCAAAAAGTTGCTTGCCAAGTACCATGTAAAGTATGTGATCTGGAAATATCAATAAATTATTAAGCGAATAGCAAGAGCAGCGGGGTCTATAATGTCATGTTTTCTTGACCACTTTTAATAAAGGGTCCCAATGTTAAACTTGAAGGGCCACATTTATTACTTCTGCCCAGCATATAGCTGAGTGAAGAGAGTTTGCTCAGCACTACTGACAATAGATGGAAGGTCTATGCTCCTCAGCACCATCTACTGGAGGTAGTGCCATCTAAACGGCATTCGCCCCAGCTATACGTTGCATGGAAGAGTTATAAACCAAAGAACATGTCAGGGCAAAGTAAAAAAAAACAACTAAATCTATGCAATGCATGCACCTCACCATGTTTTCTCCCTTTAGGCTGGGTTCACACAAAGCACATTCACATTGGTGTCTTCACACATTAAAGTGACATTAAAGTTAAAAAATCCCCGCCTTTCCCCCGCAATGCTGCATTAAGGACTTACCTTAAATGATGCCTCTTGATCTGATGTTCTTCTTTCCTGTAGTTTTCAGGAGTCCCTCCAGCGCTGGAGCCGGTCTCTGATCCATCGCATACTTCTGTCTCTTCCTGTCCCACAGAGTCTGTCCGATGTGCATGCTGCCGGGCTGTGCACATTGACTTGCCCTGCGTCTCTCCCCTTCTCCCGACCGAAGATCTCTACTGCGCATGCCCCATCATCCTTTGCAGCCACCCAAGAATCTTCAGATCTTCGGATGGGAGCGCGCGGCCGAGACACAGGTAAGTTTTAAACTTTTTTTGTTTTTTTAATGCTTTTGCATATATCTACTGCTTGCTAGCTGTATGCAAAAATATGCGAGTGTTTATTTGTACTTTAACAATCGCTATGTTAGGGCAGCCCATTAATTATTAACCCCTTCGTGACTGACGACGTACAGTGTACGTCGCCAGCATCGGGGCTGTTTAAACAGACTCCCGGTGACTAGCACCACAACACACAGTATGGTGCTCTTAATGAGCTTAGAGACTTAAATACCCTGCAAGTACAGGACAACACCTACTGATCTACCAGATATGCACTCAGCTCCTGGACTACAGTGCCTCCTCTGGACTGAAAGCCCTGCCCAGTAATCTTTACTGAACTACAGAATCCATCCCCCTCTCCATAACATAGGGGTCAGGGGTTATGTAATCCAATGGAAGAACTCATGAGACTTATTGGACTCCTTGGGATAGCACAGGCAAAGAGAATTGGACAGCTCTGAATTTCTGACAGGATCAAACAGGAAATGAGAATGTCATTGTTGGGCTTTACAAACACTTTAAAGGGGAACCCCCGCAAACTTTATTTTACTTTCTCTCCCCCTGCCTCCCTAATGTAAAAAAAAAACAAAATGCCAAAGTTCTACCTACCCTCTCCATACTCCAGCTCTGTCCCCGACTTCCTCCTCAGTTCAGTGCCCAGTGGTCCTATTTAGGGCAGAACGCCACTCTGCCCATTTCCTGTCTGTGGGGCGGGTCATCACACAGGCTGGATACACAGTGCTCCAGGGCAGAATGATGCCCACACATCTTTACATGACCACCACTCAGTCCCGAAGAATGCCCATCTCCCGCCAGCACCAGAGGAAGTTATCGTGACATCATCAGACTGGTATTCTGTCAAAATAACCAACTCATGGAGATCTGCAAGTGCGTCACTTCTGGCAACTTGCCAGCAGATTTCGACGAGTTGGAGGTAGTGTGCATGTACACACCCTGCTGCATAACAAAAAGCCCATAAGAATACCCGTCAAGTTGTCCACCTTCTGCCAGTGCACATGCGCTGGTATAAAACTAATACAGTGGCTTTATTTTGCTTTAAGGTTGTAGCAAAATAAAGCCACTGGATTTGTATTACACCAGCCCATGCGCACTGGCAGCAGGTGGACAACTCTTAAGGACTTTTTGTCATGAAGCAGGGCGCGCGCACGTGCACACTACTGCCAAGTCGTCAAAATTTCCTGCTGGCAAGTCACTGGAAGTGACGCATTGGCTTTTTCGACAGAACAGAGGCATGAAGAGTGCAGGAAAAAAAAGGTATGTATAGGGTTTAAAGGCTGGGAGGAGAAGAAGGTTACAGGACTGTAGTTCTGCTTTAAAGAAAACCAGTGCTTAGAGGAACTTGGAAGCTGCCATTGCTGACCTCCTTATTCTAGTTGCCTGGCTATAATGCTGATTCTCTGACCTGGAACAAGCATGCAGCAAATAAAGTCAGAACTCCAGCTCTGCATGCTTGTGTCAGTGACTTGTATGAAATCCAAGAAACTAGCATTTTCTCAAGACAGCAATGGAGGCATCCAAATTTCATATAACCGGAGCCCAGGATCCCATGACATGCTAAAAATGGCCATACGCTGTTAGAATTGTGACCGATTTACACATATATCAGCCGAAATCCTAACAGAAGACGGCCATGCCGGCATGAAAAAGTTGATTACTCAATGGACATTTGTCAAGGGACCCAGGCCTAAAATTGTCAGCTGAACAGTGACTGCAGCCAATCATATGCAGTCAATGTGCAGTTATTTTGACAGCTGTGGCACCAGCTGCCATAATACAATACGGAGGATATTTGTCCATTCGCGTTGCTTAGCGTGAATGGAGGAACCCGTTAGCAGTCCAAACAAAAGAAAACTATTAGTGTGCTCTCATTGATTGAAAAGGCTGCAACTTCTTCCATCAGTACTACGGTATGACCTCTGCAATGATCATCATTCTGTTACCCAGTTATGTAAAATAGGATACAGTTTGAATCCGTCCATGATCTTCTTAGCCCGCTCACTACTAGACATGGTGGATCGATTCCTTGTGTTTTTTCTGGGCCAACCCAATCCAAATTGATGGAACTGAATTGTCAATATCTCCTTCCTCCAGATCACCACAGCGGTTAGATTATTGATTAGTCCCAGTCACGTAGGACTATTTCCTGTGCTTATTCTGATTCACCTTGTGGCTCAGTTCATCAGTCTATCACAGGGGATCAGCAGTAATTGACCTCAGACAAGCGATGGCGGCCTGTAGATTAGTGGGTATAGCAGAACTTAGGGGTTGTATTGTATGTACAAACCCATCAGGCCAAGGAATGGAAGACCTGGACACAAAACTGGAATGGTTTGATAGTAGCCTCCAAAGCAGCCAGCTTCATATGTCACCTGAAGGCAGGCGATGGCCAATCAGACGCATAAAGGTGACAGGTAGGGTACCCGAGTCCCACACACTGCTGATGGAGGATGGGCTCCTCTGAGGTGATAATGAATTCAGGCAGGTGAAAGGGAAAGTGGCTCAGACAAGCGGTGGGAGGCCTTTTATAGAGCACTTTCCGCTCAGTCTGTTCTGGGAACGTTCCCGTATATCAAACTTTCAGCCAGTTTTCCTCCTAGAACACACAGGTACTTGACACTGCAAAGTCTGTACCTACAGCCGTCTATCGCTCCCCCACTCATATACGGACCATACAAAGCCGGCTTTTCTGCCACCGCAATCCCACCTTGGAGGCCGCTATTCCCTGCCAAGCAGGTACGGGTCCTGATAAGCGGATTTAGCGATGCGCTTCCAGCGCCGCCTTCTGCCACCCGCGGGTCTACCGATCCTTACAACCAGCCAATACCAGCTACATTACGTCACACATGACAGCACTACAGCCCAATCAGAAAGGAAACTAAGCAAGAACCCTCCTTGCTGGGCGTGGTAAATCATCAAGCAAGTTAGTTGTATTCTAAACGTTGTAGTGTAGAAGATGCGCGTCACTCTGCCCAGCAACGTGACGTAACCTAGAAACGGCAGAAATATGGAACGGAAACACAGAGGGCTCAAAACGGATAAAGCGTTTGTTTGGTTCCCCTGTGTCTTTTGTGTTCTGTTTTATTCATGGCGACCTAAAACCTGTTGTTTGCCTTATGAAGCAGAATTGAGGGCATTTCAGGAAAATGCATGTGCAATGCATATTTATTTTCTAGGGTGGGAAAGAGGGACATCTGTTAGCATTACATTATAGTTTAGCCAAAGCCAAAATTTGTTTTTATTGTTGGATAAACTAGAATGAGGATGGCGCGATTAAGGCCTCATTCAGGCCAGCGAATGGGGGCGGATAGGATGCTGCATTCAGAGGCGTACACATTATATCAGCTTTGGCCAGTTTGAGTGCGGCCAGAAACGCTGACCCACACTGTCTGCGTCCAGTCCCCAACTGCATGAAACCAACACGCAATTACATACATTAGACATGTAAGTTTTGTTTAGTTCTGAATTGAAATTCTGACAAATTTCTTCAAATTCAGACATTCGGACGCGTTTATCCCAATTTCAGATGCATTTGAATTGGCAAATTCAAATGTATCCAAAATTTCAGATGCGTCTGAATTCAAATGATTCCAATGTTTTTTTTCCAAATTTCGTCCAAATTTCCAATTCTAATGACCACTACGGACTAAGGTGACCAGTGCAGACTAAAATGACCAGTGCAGACTAAAATGACCAGTACATACTAAAATAACCAGTTTGGACTAAAATGACCAGCACGGATTAAGGTGAGTATGGACTAAGGTGACCAGTACGGACTAAGGTGACCAGTACGGACTAAAATGACCAGTGCGGACTAAAATGACCAGTGCGGATTAAAATGACCAGTACAGACTAAAATAACCAGTCTGGACTAAAATGACCAGCACGGATTAAGGTGAGTATGGACTAAGGTGACCAGTACGGACTAAGGTGACCAGTACGGACTAAGGTGACCAGTACGGACTAAAATGACCAGTACGGACTAAGGTGACCAGTGCAGACTAAAATGACCAGTATAGACTAAAATGACCGGTACGGATTAAGGTGAGTATGGACTAAGGTGACCAGTACGGACTAAGGTGACCAGTACGGACTAAGGTGACCATTATGGACTAAGTGGAGCAGTACGGTACAGACTAAAATGACCAAACCCCCTTCCCCCCCAAAAAATCATCAAGTTCATTTTTAAATTAAAGAACCTCATCCGAATTGTTCCAAACTGGAAAGAAAAAATTTGTATCAATCTGATTGAAAAACAAAAATTTGGATCAATCCGAAACGAAAATATTTTTTTTGAGCCTCTACATGTCTATTCATTTGTAAAGGGTATAAAACTAGCTGCCACCATGACTGTTTGCACAGGAAGAGGGAATTAATAAAAAAAAGTATCTGAGACAATCAGCTTTAACATTTTGTAAACAAAAACAAATGAAAGAATCTGTATTGTTGCTATTGGCAACCAACCCAGTCAATGTGGAACTTACCTCAGACACTTTTAATTAATTCCCCTCAAAGTGTGTATAGGGCTGACATTTCTCCACCAACAAAAATCCCTGACTCTTGCCATTGGGGATCCTAATAATCGCGTGTTCACTCTATTGCATTAGTAAATGTATATGCGCCTACTTAGAACATTTTTAATGTTGTAGATTAAGATTTACCGCTAGATGCATCTTACATACATTATTCCTCCTTTACATTTTTTTGTTTCCTCCCTGTAAAGGTAAAATGATGGGCACGTGACCAATAATTGAAGTGCGTATTGCATGTTCCATGCATGTTATGTATGTTTTTAACATGCTACCTTTGACTATAATGTAACACACTGTATTCAAGATCTGCATGTGTTCGTTCATACATAATTACTTCTTTGCACATATATGTAAACCGTATCACTAAAATCTAATATGTTAACTGGTCCATTTAACTTAAAATTGTTTTTATGTTTTTTTAAGGCCCAACTCCGGGCACAATAATCTTACATAATTCATGTGTGCCAAGCGGTCCGTTTGCTGTAAAGCCGCGTGCCATATTTTACACAGCCGCCTTCTCCCCACAAATCTTCTTTCTCCTGCTGAACTTATGTGCCTGCTCCAGTTTTAAGCACTTCTCATAGACATGTGTTTTTCTGCCATGCATGCATTAAGTTGCATGTTTTTATGAGCAGATTGTGACACATTGATGTAAATGGGCAAAATGCGCACAAACATGCCAAAAACAATTGCAATTTGCGTTTCCAAGCATTTTCTGTTGAGTCTATGGGACAAAATGAGCTGTAATCTGCCAAAAAGAAGCTGATGTACATTTTTCAGCGACAGGCGTTTTGCTTATGGAGACAAAACATTTTTGCAGATCGCATTGGACCGGAACGCAGGCTCGTTCGGGTGCCGATGATCGCATAGCAGGTGGGGCGTGGCTGTGGTGCCATTGACTTCAATGCACAGCCACACCCCCTCCCGCCCCTAAACACGGGGAGCGTTCCAGAGGCCGAACGCTCTGGAACACACTCTTTGTGGCGGCTCTTAGGGTTTAGATCTGCTTTGTCTTTTAGTATTCTTTTTTATATATTAGCCATTTATTACAAGTTCCCATTAGTCCATCCGCTGAAAAAAGCCTGCTGTTTAGAGATCTCAATAGCGCAAGATGAAATTTGTACACAGCCAACTTCTGCTGTGCAGTCTCTTCAGGTATCCCATAGTGCTCTGAGAATCCACTGTCATGTAGAAAACAAGTGTGTGTATATCTATATACACTATGTTATATACACTATATTACCAAAAGTATTGGGACGCCTGCCTCTACATGCACATGAACTTGTGGCATCCCAGTCTTGGTCCGTAGGGTTCAATATTGAGTTGGCTCACCCTTTGCAGCTATAACAGCTTCAACTCTTCTGGGAAGGCGTCCACAAGGTATAGGAGTGTGTCTATGGGAATGTTTGACCATTCTTCCAGAAGCGCATGTGTGAGGTCAGGTACTGATGTTGGACGAGAAGGCCGGGCTTGCAATCTCTGCTCTAATTCATCCCAAAGATGTCCTATCGAGTTGAGGTCAGGACTCTGTGCAGGCCAGTCAAGTTCCTCCACCTCAAACTCACTCATCCATGTCTCTATGGACCTTGCTTTGTGCACTGGTGCGTAGTCATGTTGGAACAGGAAGGGGCCATCCCCAAAGTGTTCCCACAAAGTTGGGAGCATGAAATTGTCCAAAATGTCTCGGTATGCTGATGCCTTAAGAGTTCCCTTCACTGGAACTAAGGGGCCAAGCCCAACCCCTGAAAAGCAACCCCACACCATAATCCCCCCTCCACCAAACTTTACACTTGGCATAATGCAGTCAGGCAAGTACCGTTCTCCTGTCAACCGCCAAACCCAGACACGTCCATCGGATTGCCAGACAGAGAAGCGTGATTTGTCACTCCAGAGAACACGTCTCCACTTCTCTAGAGTCCAGTGGCGGCGTGCTTTACACCACCGCATCCGACGCTTTGCATTGCATTTGGTGATGTAAGGCTTGGATGCAGCTGCTCGGCCATGGAAACCCATTCCATGAAGCTCTCTACGCACTGTCGTTGTGCCAATCTGAAGGCCACATGAAGTTTGGAGGTCTGTAGCTATTGACTCTGCAGACAGTTGGCGACTTCTGCGCACTGTACGTTTCAGCATGCGCTGACCCCCCGCTCTGTCATTTTACATGGCCTACCACTTCGTGGCTGAGTTGCTGTTGTTCCCAGTTGCTTCCACTTTGTTATAATACCACTAACAGTTGACCGTGGAAGATTTAGTAGCAAGGAAATTTCATAAAACACCTGAATCCAATGATTTGGAGGGCGTCCCAATACTTTTGGTAATATAGTGTGTGTGTTAGATGTCCCCAATACAGATACTAGTATCGGTAACAGGGCCGATACTAAAGGCCAATACTGGCCCTTTAAATTTTTAAACAAGTTCGGCTGCCTCAGGTCCCACACTTGCTGGGGACCTCAGGCAGCCTGCTGGGGATCTTACTCTTGCTGTCTTTGACAGCGTTGGTCCAGCCCTACACCGCCTGTACAGTCCTAGTGCTCGGCATG